AACAGACTTTTATTACTTACTTACTCGTTAGGGAGGAAGATTGAAATTGAAATTTATGAGTTTACCACTTGGTTCTGTGTGCTGCAAAGATAAAGATTACAACTTTTTGCAAATATTCGCTCTACTCGTATGTGCATACCGCTTTATCTTGTCACGTCGACCGTGGTGACTGCTGCCGGGGAGAGAGAAGGACATAAATGTCGATACCTCGTGTAGATAAATATTTTAAAAATTGCGACTAGTGCGATTCTAGTCCAGGGAATTGGCGCAGATGTTACCGCCTCACATTTCCAGAGGTATTTACATCCAGAAATCCTACTACAACTAGGAATGCATACATACAAGTTATCCGTGTGTATGCCCCCAATAAATATCGCATCAGAGAAGAAAGCAAGGCACACACACATGTTTGGTTTAGTGTCTAACTTGTCTAAGCTGAGGATTGTCGGATGTTTGAGCAAAATAATTAATTGGATTTCGGATCTCTTGGCATGACACCATACCATCGGCATCATCCAGTTGAGTGTAGCGTGCCTTCAGGTCTTTGCAAAAATTCGTAAATGTCATGTCAATTCGCTCTTGTTCAATTTCCACTACTCGTACTTGAGTGATGTTTAAATTAAAGTTGGGGAGAGAATGGGCATCAAGTTTCATGCGTATATGCCATGCAATCTATATGTGCATATGTACTGTCTGATGTCACATGTGTTGCTGAAATAAAATTGTAAAAAGTCTGCCATAAATTCCGGACAGGCAAAAATATAAAAATTATTTCAGTTTGCTGTTTACTGCTCCTGCTGTTGTGGGTGATTCATGGCTCTCTCACTTTAGTTAACTAACAAGCCTCCCATTCATATTAAATTCTTTTATGCTTTTTGCACCCATTTGTAAACAGATTCTAAATTGTGCATCGTTATTCAACTCTGCATATTTACGTACGTACATACGTACTTTCTTAGTCTATAGGACACACAGAGTTCTGTTGCTACAACAAGTATGTCTACATCGGAACGAATTTAAAGTACCGGAAGAATTTGCAATTTTTTATTGTGAGAGAAAGAAAAAAAAGTTCCTTGCGTTGAATTTCCGCTCTTTCTTGTTGTGTTGTCTGTCATGTGCAGTGGCCGCGGAAGCTGTGGGGACATGTGGGGACGTTAACATTATAGGATAGGGGAGGGAGGGGTTTGTATAAGATGGGGAGATGATGGGGACATCGAATAACCGTGGGGACACTGTCCCCCCATCCCCACGCTTCCGCGGTCACTGGTCATATGCATATATTTGATCATAGTCATCTAATGTCCTCTTTCTGTAGGTATGCATACATGTTTGTGTTTTTGTTGATGTTTTGGATTTTCAAGATTGAAAAAATTGCACATATCTCAACATCTGAGGGATGTAAAGACAAGAACAAGAACACAAGAGTTAGTATCCATTTCTTTTGGCAGGGTTGGCACTGAAATTGAAAAATGTTTCTCATCTGGATTCAACATTTCTTACGAAGGCTTATTCCTCGTTCCCAGCTTAGAAATGAGGATAAGATTTTTTTTCCTCTTTTCTCTGAGTCGTTTGAAGATTGCAGATTGTTTTGCTTATGGTAAAAGAAGAGCGAAAGTCGTATATTGCGTGATACGGGAAATCACCACCAGCCACGCGGTATGATGGCATGGCAGATGGTGTCTCGTGCTAATGATGAAGAAAGCGAGACAATTTGCATTTCGATATAATCTTTCTGGACGTTTAAGCAATTTAGTTAACAAAATTTAGCCAACAAATGTGTTACTCGTACAAAATTTAAATTTAAAACGTGCACGTGTCAATTCTTGGTAAAAATCAATGCAAAGTCCTACATTTTCCAGAAACATGTCATTTTTTAATACGGACAATTTTGCATTTCGATACGAACTTTCTGCCCGTTTAAGCAATTTTCCTACTTTTTAGTTAACAAAATTTATTTACCCAACAAACATGTTACTTTCCTTCTTTACTCGTAAATACAAAATTTAAATTTAAAACCTGCACGTGTCAATTCTCGTCCAAAATCAATGCGAAATCCTACCGGAACATGTCTCTTTTTAATACTTTATACCAACAGCAAACCCAACAAGCTGTTAGACTTCCATACACCCACACAAGTCGGTGCTTTAACTTTCACATCATCCATCCCCGTGAATGTATACACTTTCCGTGTTTGTACTGTGTGTGCCCTCCTGGTACAGACAGTTGGTCGCTTTTAGAGACTTTTATTAGCAGAGGGAAAGCACTGAGGAAAGAGTGAAGTGGACGGATCCCTACTTTACATTGGTAATTTCCCAACACTTGCTTTCTCTCTCAAGTCCGTCGGCATATGTGGCCTTTCATTTTCCATTCTAGGATTTGTTAGCTGCCACTTGCCAGCCTGCTGCTGCTGCTCCGATGAGATGATGATTCCGTCCAATATTGAAGCTACATAGCTCGTGGTGAAAGTATCAAATTCTCATCCATCCAAATCCTTCGCCATCCAACCGACCAACTTTCCTTCCTCAGGTTTCGTTCGAAACCACGGCTGAACTGAAATCCGTGTGGGATGAGGAGAGGTGGTAGTGTCGGATAGCGGTTGGTTGTATTAGCAAGGTCCTTATCAATAATTCAAAATGGAACATTCAACATTCGTTCGACATCCTCCTCCTCTCGGAGTTAAGCTTTCTTCTCCCACTTTTTACTTTGAGAAACAGAGAGACCTAGGATTTGATAAGGGTGCATAAAGCTGCATCGGAGCCAACTGGGTATGCATGTATGCAGCAGGTTTAGCACTAATCCTTAAAGATATAGCGATCCAGAGTGAGAAGAAAGAGTGAGATTTCATAAATTTCGGATTCATATCTATCAATCCGGACCGACATTTCCACTAAATTATATTCTCCCATCTCATAAAAAATAATACTAAAATTTTAAACGAAAGACAGATCCCTGTTTAATAAATGTTTTGAATATTGAGCTTGAAGAGTTGTACATAAATGATGTTTAAATGTTTATCTTATTGCCAGCTTGAAACTGAGCAGAACAGATTGAACGATATTATTGAGTGTGGGAGGATATGTTGCCCGCCTAATCACGACGATGCCTTCTTACATGATAAGTATTATTTATGTATGTGAGACCAGTGACCGCGGAAGCCGTGGGGACATCTGGGGACATTAAGTAACTATATTACATGGACAAATGATGGGGGCATCGAATAACCCTGGGACATTGTCCACTGTCCCCACACTTCCGCGGTCACTGTATGAAACTCATCTTTTTAGAGTGATGGATCATTCAAGTGAAATAATAATTCAATTTCCACTCTTCTTCTTCTTCTGCAAGTGTTTCTCATCCCACTCGTCGTTAGCTAAACTGTTTGTTTTGTGTGGAGTCATTCCGCTCTGTAATTCGTATTTATTTGAAACGAGTTGTTTCTGACTTAACGTAGCGAATGTGTATGCACATGTAAATTAAGGACTGGGATGAATATGACGAGGTTGGTTGTGCACTGGACCCGAGATGAAGATGAATGTTTAAGTGGGTCTGAGCATTGAGTGAGTGAGTGAATAATTTAATGGCTGAAAGTAAATATTTACATTCAGTTTACTTCCTTTTGGTTTGGTTAGAGAGAGAAGGATCTCATTTCATCGTCGGTAGATTAGACTCGGGAATTGAGGAAAGGTTAAGGCTAGCCAAAGTATGTGTGTACATACGAAGCTCTGGAAAACCGATGATGATGATGAGACGATGAAATTGAATTTATTTCTGAATGAAGCCTTTGTTCAAACGGTTACATGGGACTTGAAATAAAACCTTTGTCATAAATGGGTCCGTTGATAGGTTTACTTTTACCAGCCAATTCTAATTATCGTCCCGTTATTTTAACGCGTATGGCTGTTTTCTCCGCGTTAATTTATTAGTTTACGGTTCTCATACCACCAAATCATGTCGATGGTCTAAAACTTTCATTAAATTTATTAGTCGTCGTTATTATTATTATAAGCCATACAAGGACACTTAAAAAGATGCACTTCCTAGAACTACCTCGTATTAAGTGACCATTGAATAATGAGGCTGCGCATAGTTGATTTTCCACCCAGCGGGTTAGAATTGTCTGCTGAAACTAAATACTTTTTCAAGAAGCTACCGCATTTCCGTTCTCAAAGAGATTAATGTTTTAGCCAGGCCGAAAGAATTTTGTTTATTGAAATGCAACCGCTTTTAATCCTCCTCCTTCTCCTCCTTTGCATAAAATGCAGTTTTCAACGATATCTTTCTTAAGCGAAAACAGCTTCTGCTGTTAAAAACACAATCACAAGTGGTTACACAAAACGGTGTAAAATGATAAAATGAATACGTAGAAATGGAGCCTGTGTATGTACATGGCTGCCAAGCAAGCAGGTAAAAAATGGTGATCAGATAATAGAAATGCGTACGAGTGCGTGGTTGGTAGTGGTGTCTGTCTCCCATCATTTGGATGGGATGAGCCATGAACCATTGAACGTACGTAAGTAAGTAAATTAAATGGGAAAAGTGTCTAAGTTTCCAAATGCACTGCACATTTTTGGCTTTCCATCGTGCTCCTTTGGTTCACTTGATTTGCATAAAAGTCTCATTTAGAAATTCGAATTTTGATCTCATCTCACTCTTTCCTCATTAAAAACACTCTGCCCGGGATGGTATTAAGCACACTTTCCTGCAGAATACTAAGGATGAGAAGAACAACCCGTTGGTGTTACGTACGTACGAACACTCGTTTCGGCCTTGTATGCACGAATCTGGTTGTCTGAAAACCGACCAAAAACTTATAATGAAACGAATAATGTAGGTATCAAAGTGATACTTGTGAAAACTTTTTTTCTCTCTGGCTTGATAGACCAAAAATAAAATAGAAAGTGACGAAGCGAAGTGACTAATCCTTTATTTTCATTGCTTATTATGCCGGTAAAATTATACTTATTTCAATTTTAACGTATGTTCTTGTTTTATATTTGCAGATTTGAAGAAGTACTTCGAGCAAGGTAATATTTAGTTTTTGTATATTTAGTTAAACAAGCATTTAATTTTTCAAATGCATTTTTTAGCTCCATATTCCTTGAAACATTTTTAAAATTCTCACTTTTATTAATTTAGGCCCATACAGCAAGAGCGTGGAACTTGGATCACAAACAGAAATGCGATGCATTCCTCCCGATGGGGTCCCCGTCACAGTGATATCCTGGATCCGAGATGGACAACAGATTGATCCGAAACGCGACCCAAATTATATAATCACGGCGGATGGTCATCTTCTCATTGCCCAGACGCGTTTAAACGACATGGGCAACTATTCCTGTGCAGCGCAAAATATTGCAAGCACACGAATCTCAGAGCCGGCACTTTTGACAGTTTATGGTGAGTACTTACCACAATTCGTTAATTTAAGAAGTAGCATTTCCTGTTAAGCAGTGTTTCGATTCTGCTAAATTTCTTGCAAAGCAAAGCAAGAAACGCAAGAAATGCGAGGTGCAAGAAACTGGGAGAAAGTGCAACAAATATGCGCCATTTGGTGGTGCGTAGTTAGTAGTTTCCTATGCGTTGCATTTCTTGCAGGTCAAAATACCCGCAAAAAAACACACTTTCTACCCGTTATTTCTTGCAAGGGGTTACTTTCCCCCGAAACACTGCTCTTAAGGTCAACACCGTATCATTTCGTTCATTTGACCAGAAAACCCCGACTATTTATTTAATTGCAAAAACCCCGCATTTTATTTATCCGGCATGCGACAATCATTTCCAGATTGTTTTCCACCATTCCTCCCTCGCCAATTTCCAATAGAATTCAATCAATTTTCTACCTCAAGTTCCATGCACCTTGTCCCAACCAATTTATACCCTTCCCCCAACTGGATTAGTTTGTTGTCCAGCCAAAGCCAATTCCATTCAATCCAATCTAATCACTTTGTGTAAACTCTGAATCCGCGAGTGTTTGTCTTGTGAAGAGAAAGAAACGCTAAGCAAGCAAACCGTCAAGGTTTACTTTACGTGGTCGGGCTCAATGGAGGAGGAGAAACATTACAACAGTATTACCGTACTTTCTCGAAATTGAGACTCTCCTTCAACTTGTATGCTTTTTTGTGCGGCGATTTATTTGAGAATCTACGACAGACGGTGTAGAAAGAAACCAGTTCGAGAATACTGACACAATGGAGACTCGTATGGATCCAGGACTTCTCGGTTAAAGTCTCTCATGGGCTTTCTCTTTGTTTTCCCAGCTTAGCTTTCTCCGGGTGGTTTCACGAGTGAAATGTACATAAGACACCGGTCTGCAGCGGAGGATTGAAGTGGATTCTTTCAATGAGTACCTACACACACGTATATATTGTCAAGACAAACACTACTGGCAGGAGAGGATAAGGAGTAGGGACAGACAGACATCGCCATATTATCGCCAATTTCGTATTATTTTTGCACACGGCACTAAAACTGTGACAAGAGGTTTTTGCAGTATTACATATTATGACTGAAACGAGACCAATTATGTAAGCACATGCAGAATTTCCAATCTAAATAAATAGACGTCATGGTTGTACAATGGAGGTTTCCCAGCATATGCTCTCCGATTTTTACCAAACTTGTGTCAATCGATGACAAATTTATTTAATATGAAAGTTGAAAAAGGCACTATCTCCCAGTGGACACGTTTGGCAGATATTTGCATCCGAGGAGGAGAAAATAAAAACAGTAAATTTGGAAAGTGTAGTCAACTTTAAAGCCTGCTTTCTCCTCTTTGGACTCAAATATCTCCGCCAAGCCTTCACATTGCCAGATATTACCGTTTGCAAGTTTCATACTAATTAAATTTGTGATCAATTGACACTAATTTGGTCAAAAATCGGAGAGCATACACTGGGAGACTTCCATTGTTAGTGAGACTATTTACTGACTAAATATTACACATATTTAATTCCTACCATTAAAAGAATACTGAATTGTGCACAAGTTTCCTGCGCGTATTTAAATTTACTTCTAGCAACACCATGCGGGAAGAGCTGCTGCTTTGTGTTTTGTTCAATCTGAAATTCATGAAAAATGCATCAGTTTTTTTCCTCTCCAGCGAGGAAATAAATAAGCGGGCATAAATTATACTGTGGACTCGTCTCTCTCTCTCTCTTTTAAACTCTCAAAACATCTTCTGTTACGACGAGGGATGTGTATCATTGAGTAAAGTTAAAGAGTTCATTTTATAATTTGGAGACACTTGCTTGCTTGTTCTTGAGGAAGAAACTCGTCTCCTTACGCACAGTGGCCACGGAAGCGTGGGAACAGAGGGACAATGTCCCCACGGTTGTTCGATGTCCCCATCATCTCCCCATGTTAAATAAACCCCTCCTCCCCTATCCTACAATGTTAATGTCCCCACATGTCCCCACGGCTTCCGCGGCCACTGATACTGTACATTACATACGCACAAATAAAGTAACAAACTTTACTTTTGTTCGCATTATTATGATGTGACTTTGCATTCTCCATTCAAATTTAACTCCAAGTTGAGTTTAACATTCAACAAACCATTTCAAAATTCAAATTGGGATCGAATAATTCGGAAGGAAGTTGAACTTGAAAAAAAGTTCAGCTGCAGAAATGATACTTGCTTCCTTTTCCTGTGTCTCAGAAAAAAATGCGAAATGTGATTCTTCTAGACTCGAGAGGAACATAAAATTAAATACGGTCGGCTACATCTCCAAGCAGCAGGAGGAGACGTTTTTTATAAAAAATGTAAATTGCGACCCAACCTTAACTTAACTCACGCATAAAGCAAAATGTGCGTTGAAATGCTTATTGGAAATTGGGAATTTTGCTCTGTACTCTTTTATATTGAATTTAGCGACATAAAAATTCAGCTCATTTCCATCTCTTTGGAGCATTGAGGCGTGCGAAATGAGTGAAAAGTCCATAATTTTGGACCCAAGGTAATGAGGAGAGAGTCAGGAAAACATTGGCCGCGGAAGCAGGGGGACAGGGAACATTGTCCCCCCAGGAATCGTGCTTATCTTGCCCATGTTACTACTAAGCCCCTCCTCCCCCAATCCCACAATGCTAATGTCCCCCAACTTCCGCCGCCCCTGCAGCCAGAGACGCGTATGTATAAATGCAGTCTTTCTTTTTTGGTACTTTTTCCTTGTTTTGTGTCTCGCCGTTTGGTACTTTGCGAAGCTTGTTGGTTATTAGAGGAGGTAATAAAGCTAATAAATATGCCCACGGAATATACTTTATATTTATTATGGGCTCTCTCCGCGATTCGGAAATGAATGTGTACATATAAACTCTCTCAAGTCTCTAGTGAAGCCTCTCTCTCATTCCCAAGTGTTAGTTGGGTAACATTTCATTTTCAGTCAGTTTGCATCGCATCGCAATACTAATTTAGGGATTGGAATTTGGTTGTTAGCTTCATCACAGTTTACGACCTGACTCTGGTTCACATTTGAGAATTGCATGAAACTCTTACCAATTTGGGTCGTCGCACAAGCTATAAAAATGAGCTAGGAATTTATCAAAATTACGTCTGACAAAATACATACGTATTTTAAATACTTTGAATAATTACGAAATTTAAGCCAGATTTAACCATAACTTAGTTAATTAGTCCCTCTGCGTTTACTTACCATTCCAAAAACACGTGTGTATAACGACACCAACGCCACAGACGTATTATTATTATCCTTCCGGCACGAACCAGCAGTGGCAGCTTGTTACAATAACTGTGAGTCCTCATCTAAACGTTCCTCCACCCACGCGGGGAACAAATTTGTAATTTCTGATTTGAAATTGAAACTCAGAAATCCCTACATATTTCAGCCTCTCGAAATTCAAGCCATGTTAAGTATTTGCATGGTGTTACTTTCATTAGCAAAAGTTATCAGTCGTCTGGTTGGCAGCAGTTGATACAAATGAGTTGATGAAATGGGGAGAGAAACAACGGGGAAACCGAGAAATCCGGCGGAATGTTGCCATCATTTGGCTCCGAAATGCAGATATGTATGTTACCAGAAGTCCTTGCAACTTTTGTTTTGTCCCCAAGTCAGAGAATATATATACTTAAGTATTAGAACCTGAACGGAATAGAATTGCATTATTGCAGCAGAGTCGTCTGGATATACGTAATGAGACCGGGAGGAGGAAGAGGAGGAGAGAAATCATTAGAATGCAGAGACACAAACATCAATCTCCATTTGGCTCTTGGAACACCACCACCATCTCCAAACAACACGTGCCTTCTCACTGTCTCCACAAACCAAATTCACACCATTCGGACCAGCAGGAGCAGCAAAAGTCACATGTAATAATGCAAATCACTGCACATTCAGTGACAATGGAGGTCTTTCAGCGGATGCTCTCCGATTTTGGGCAAACTAGTGTGAATCGATCAGAAATTTGATAAGCATGAAATTTGCAACAGACACGATCTCCTCATGGTAAAATTTGGCGGAGATACTTGCATCCGAAGAGGAGAAAACGCAAAGTAAACTTGACAAAGTTTTCACTTTCCAAATTTACTACGCGTTTTCTCCTCTTCGGATGCAAATATCTCTGCCAAACGTGACCATTAGCGTGTCTTTTACAGATTCCATGTGGGATCGATCGACAGTAATTTGGTAAAATCAGAGAGCATTCGCTGGGAGACATCCATTGTCAGTTGACATTTAGGTTTTTGAAAAATAAAAATTCTTCACAACGGCAAAAATATTTTGTTACGATCTCTAAAAATTTATGGTTGCAATATGTATGACAATTTTTTTCCTACGCATAAAATATAAAAGTATCTATAATAAGAGCCCTGTAGCCGCTTTTTGTAGCCAAAAACCAGCTAAATTTTAAAGGGAGGGAGAGCACTTGAAACGAGTTTTGAAGGTGTTTTCAAGTAGTGGAGCTTCGCCTCTTGAGAATCGATATTGGAAAGAGAAAGTGGTGAAGTGGGTACTCAAAATCAGACCACTTGAGACACATGGCTGGATTTTCCTGCTGGTTACCAGAAAAAGAAGATAAAAAAGGATTATGTGCTATAGACTTTAAATTTCGTAAACATAAATTGGACCGTTTTCTCGGAAAATCCATTTTATTATTAATCGCTATAAAAAGAACAGTTGTACATTACACTTTTTATGGGAAACATTCGCATTTCGATTATTTCCCAAATAGTGATTGAGGCTTATTGTGCCCAAGCGTGAAATGGGGTGGTGGGTAGATACACAGCCTTTCACCACCCATCCACCCACCTCATCTCATCTATTCACAGATTTCTCTATTCATTCAATTCATCCGATTGTGTGAGGAGGGAGAAAAGAGAATGGAGAAATCATCGTCGTCATCATCATCATCAACTCAAAGTCATTGCAGCCTCATCAGATTTTACTCTGTTTGCCGTGAATTATTGCAAAGCCATGAACCAACCGAAGCTAAATATTTGTATTTGTTTGACGACGAGTGAAAGCAGAAACACAAATACTACAAAGAGGTGCATGCACAAGTACAAAATGCAGTCATCATCACTAATATTAATAGTTTGGAGTATTAATATCTTGGATGTGAAACTGTTGTGAAATCTCTCCTTGTTTAAATCGCATCTATTTTTACTGAATCTCTGGAAGGGTACGGTTGACTTGACCGTTGGTAGATTCACGTCGAAAAAGTAATGAATGGATTGTGATTGATTTGGCTTTTTTCACCCAAAAACATCCCCTTTTCTTGCTGACCCCTCGTTACTGGGACTGGATGGAAAATAAAATTTCCCATGAAAGCCTCCTTGATTTTGTAGACAAACCACCAACAAATCACCAAGTTTAAAAAACTGAGTGCATTTATAACTATTTTCTTACTTGCAGTGAATGGAGCATGGGGGACGTGGTCGGCCTGGTCAGGTATGTACTTAAGGTTACTTTTATATGGTCGTCATTACCTTCTAAACCAAAGCAAAAGAAATAAATTTACGTTTTTCCGTCCCTTTCAGAATGTTCCGGTCCCTGTGGAAAAGGGGTACAGAAACGAAGTCGGGTTTGCAACAATCCAGCCCCTCTCAACGGAGGTCGTCCCTGCTCTTCATCTGCCGTTCAGAAGCAAGACTGCCTGCTCCCATGTCCTCGTAAGTATTTACTAACTTCAATTTCAATTTTATTCAATTTCAGATAAGCCATAAAGTCTACTAGATTTCGATATTCCATTCAAAACTAAATATCAGATCCAAAAAGCAGCATTAAAATTATTTAAATTAAACAAGCTACTTACATACTTTTTCAAGGATTATTTTGTAAAGCCAGACACCAGACCACATTAAGAACATATTTCCTCCTGTGCCTACCTTATCAGAGAACTCACACACTTTTTACGTTACCCGACTTGTTAAAAGTTTGTCGTCTCGTCTCCTCACCACATTTTCATCTCATCATCCATGTCAGTATCATCATCATCATCATCACTCACTTTTCTTTCTTCTTCCTCCGCAAGTTAATTCCACCACTGCTCGGCAATCCTTTTCCTGGTGGTAAATGGTGCGGGGAGGTTCCCAAAGATAGAAAGATGGATAGTTCATCATCATAAGGAAAGGTCTTATGCACGTATGTATAATGCACAAGTTGAAGCGCACAATTATCTGCTAATTACAGGAGGAAAGTTTCTCTTCATTTAAAACAAATCTCCTCCACTTTTGTCACTAATGAAATATCTGAAAGTAGGAGTTACTTACGTACAACAAGCTTTCAAGCTGGAGAGTCGGCCATGGAGTCAAACTACGTAAGCAAAAGTCGACTCCATCCAAAACTGATTGATGAGCAGTCAGTCGGCTACTGACTGACGATAGGGTCTCACGTTTACATGCATGCATACATATCGTCTCACATTACGTACCGGGTTCCCATCACATACATCTCATCATAAAGCAAAATTGAAAATTATGTGACTCTCTCATGACGGTTATTATTACGCGTGGCAGAATAATTATCACATCCAGTTGAACTTAAAAGGGTAAATATCCATGTAGAATCCGGTTCAGTCACTCTGGGTTGAGTCATAGGGCTATATTTGGTAAAGAAATTCTTAAGGTACATACTTCCTTAGATATTTTTTGTATTTGCATGTAAAAATTCACCCCTGAATTTTTCTCAGATTTTTTAAACGCATCTACATACATTCCTAGCTTTTTAACTCAACTCCTCAGCAGCCTGGTGGATGAGGTAATGAAGTCTCGGAGGAGGACAGGACACGGATACGTGAGGATGATTGATGAACATTTTTGCTCCACAATTTAGTCCTTGGTTTTCTGGGTAGCTCGTAGGCTTCCTAAGTAGCTGGACCCTGAAGCTCTGATTCAGCAAGTTGTGTACATACATATCCACATCTATAGAAAACGAGCCACTTTTTAATTCTGAACGAGCCCTGTGCTCATCTGATTTAAATGTAGATAAAAATGTCTAGAAAATTTAACATATTTCTTTCTTTTTGACGAAATCGATGCTTGAAAAAAAAATCTTCTTTCGTAAACCGATTTCGTAAACTAATACATACAATTTTGAGGATCCTGCTATTTCCATATTACAAGTTGGTATATGTAAGAGTTGATATATGCAAATGTTCTTATATACTTAAAGTCGGGTTGCTTTTGAGGAAACACAATCCGTTTCTAAACTCTCATCATCCCAATGTTTGCTAACAGGATTAAATGTCGGGTGGATAAAGAGTTGAGAACATGAGTCACTAATTAAATAAAGAAATTAGTTCATGCTCACTTTCTCCCATAGAGTTGAACCCTCCCTTGAAGAATTAAGGACTCATTCGTCAGTACCCGCACAACGATTATTTGTCGCAACAATTTCCGTGCTTACATTATCATTCCAAGTATTTCGTTTCATTTCATGCTGCGTGCAGTACAAATTTTGCCAGCTGAGCTCAAGTGTACATACACAAAGTGAGAGGAGAAAGTGTGCAAGAAAAGGAGTAAGTTAGGGGAAAGTTGAGCTTTGATTTGACGGAATTCTGACTCGCAGCCTGCTTCACCTCATCTATTTAATAAGTCTTTATCGGATCGGAAAGACTTAAAAGGCTTGCGAGAAAGGCTTTGACTTTATATTTTCCTTTGTAAGTGAAAGAAATCCGAAAATATGCTCTTTTCTCGGCAGGCGAAATGAAGTGATTCCTGGACTTTGAAAGTAATCTAGGACTTCCGTTCGTTCGTTTGTGTGTGTGTTAGGTGGGTGAAATGATGTGATGGTTGTGATGGAGAAGATTGGCTTCTCTCTCCTCCTTTGTAGATTTAATCCGATTTGCACAGATTCCTCCATACGTTCGGTTTGATGGAATTATGGGTCGGGGAAATTTGTTTAGTTGGCTTCACTAGGCTTCGCTGACTTTGTTGTAGATCGGGTTTATGCGCTAAAAGGTACATAAATAGATAGGTATACCCATTGTTATAACAATGATGACGATTATTACATTTTGCCTGAGTAAGCCTGTGCAATTTTGAGTTTTTGGCTCATTTTGCGTCTCAATTTTTACCCTTTTCGTCACCTTTCCCGTTCACTTTATTTATTGATCACCCTTCTCGACGATATGGTAGTTAAGCTCACATCAACATCAAGCTTTCTCCTCGCACCCTTTTTCAGAGTGAAGAAGCAGTCAGCAGCCGAATTTGGTATGAATGAAGGGGGAGAAAATTCCAATCCACAAATCACTGCCAAAATATTTTAGGAATAAATGACATTGTCAACATTCCTCGATAGATTTACATCTGTGTTCTGTCACGCTAGGTGCTTACCCTCATCCTGATTAAGCAATTTGAATTGTTTGAATGTACAAGAAAAGCAGTGGAGAAAGCAGAAATGCGAACTTTTCAAAATTTCATGCTCTATGTAATAATTATCATCCATACGATACGAATAATGGTGAAAATACGACAGTCGATGTCGGATAGAGGCAATTTCAATAGTTCCAGTCAAATTTTACACCACGATTCCATCTCATCGCTTATATATTACTTTTTTTATTTTCTATTCTCCCTGAAAAATATCAATCTCACTTTTTCGTTGATAGTTTAACGAAAAATCCATCCCAGCCAATATATTCTTCTTTCTTTCGTGAGGACACGTTTCACGTGGTTGGTTTTTCTGTTGCGGTTTATTGCACATGCTGCGAGCCACAATGCAACACCCGACGAAGACTAGCTTTCCCGTCCTGTCTGTTGCTTTTCCTGCATGCAATAATGCAACCAGACTTCTTGTGTCGCATGCACTCCTGTCCCGGCCTGGCTTGACAAAGGTATTACGTTATATTAGGCGGAAATAGGATCAGCGATCACACCATTGTACACAAAACATGCACAATAACATCGAACCGAGCCGTTCGGCGTGGCGTGCGGCATTTCACGTTTGTGTTCTCTACAAACTGGAGCAAAACCAGGAGACTTTTCCTTCAATGTGAAATCGTCGAGGATTAGGTTTTAGGCTGGTATATGGAAAAGAGAGAGAGTACGGGTCGGGATGAAATACGGATGCCATTGCATCCGGAATCTCGCCTGAATCGAGAGAAGAAGATGCAATTTAGTGGAATGGAAATGGTGGACGACACAACCAAATACATATACCTCCAACTGAGGGAATGGGGTGCAGTGGCCGCGGAAGCCGTGGGGGACATTAACATTGTAGGATAGGGAAGGGACTTACATAACATAAGGACATCTAATAACCGTGGGGACATGGTCCCTCTGTCCTCCGCCGCCACTGATCCGATGCCTCCAGGAATCTCTGAACTGAACGGGGTTTACCTCCTCGTCTCGTATTTATTATCTTGTGTGAGAATATTTGTGTATTTGTATTTCTGTTTGTTTTCCTCTTGTTTCTTGGAGGATAAGAGTGGTATGCGGTCTGGTATTTGGATACATGTTCGTCCCATCGCCTCGCAAGAAAGAATGACATTTTATTTTATGTTCGAAGGAGGACAAAGAATGGAAAGTGTTTGGAGTGAGAGACGGACAGACAGGAGGAGATAGTTGGTGAATTATTGCTCCAATTAAATCACTATTGACACGCGGAAGACGGTTGCTACTACTGGAAGAAAATAAAAAAGTGCAGTGCATGGTCTGGTTTGTATCTTCCGTTTGTGGGAGATGCATCCTCGTTCGATTCATTACCAAGTCGTTCTTTAATAGGAGATGAGCAGAGCAGTCCCACATTCTACATGCCAAAGCATGTTAGTTAGTTGTTGAGGTGACATAAAGCATGACCCTGGGTATCCAATATGGATATTGCTTCAGATGCTGAAACTGGAATGGTTGCCCTTAAAATAACTGAGAAGTTTTCTTCAACCAACACCACCCCGACCAAACCCATACATTAGCCCATTAGCTGTTAAAGTTATACCGTTATAAATAAGGAGGAGAAGAACCACTACCACCAAACAGATATTCATTATTCGCCTTGGTCGATATTTTCTACTAAAAGGAGCTCGAATAAATCTAGCCCAAGATTTATTTCCTAGCAAAATTCATTTAGTTTACTCTTGTTATTAAGGAAGAGGAAGAGGAGGCAAGATTGTGCGTAAGTAAGGTTCAGCCAAGAGAGATGAGACACATCAACCACACCACCAACTTAACCACCCCCAATACCATTCATACCATGCTATTTTCTTCTTCGTGGTTCAAATTAATTACTGGGAAGTGCCCTTACACTCCGCCGCAGGATGAATGAAATGAAACCAGTAACGCAAATTCTGTACGCAGTGGCCGCGGGGACATCGGGGGACATTAAAATTGTAGGATAAGGGAGGGACGGGTTTATGTGACATGGGCCGATGATGCTGGCATCGAATAATCGTGGGGACATTGCCCCTCTGTCCCCACGCTTCCGCGGCCACTGGACTGTATGTATTCCTCCTGTCTCTTTATGTACTGGAATGTCTTACAGGATCGACTAATTTAAAGTTCCATCGAACGAAACTGCTCTTCTTGCACAGAGGTCAAGTTCACGAGAGAGAGAAGTTGAACTTGAAAGGATAATAACGTCAATGAAACAGAAGGATTCGATAAATCAGTCTCATTTTTATTTATGTTTATAACGCTTGTATCCAACTAATTGCAATCTTGCCTCAAAATCTTATATATTCGCGTCTCCGTATGTTTACTTATGTATGCTGCTGCGTTTCTCTCCCTAATTTAGGGACAAATCTCCGTGTGAATTTGTTCAAGTGTTTACAAACTAGAATCCTTTCTTATCCCGACGAGGCCACTCTCAAAGTCTCACCCAAATCTAAACCCTTTGCTTTTAAAAGCTTTTAAAATCTGGAGGATTGCTTTTAAAATTTGAAAGTGTGTTTAAAAGACATGACATTGTCGTCACTAACACTGAAACGAAACTTATTATACAACTACCGCAAAACTAGGGAGGAAATGTTTTTGAAATTTTTAAAAGGATACAAAACTACTCCCGTCACGACACAAAACAAACTTTCAATCAAACCCGGGCACATTCACTTCACATTTAAATATCGATCCAGCCCTGAAGAAAAATCTCATTCATTCATTCATTCCTCCGATGTAAAGGCTTTTAGTTAAGGAAACAAGCAGCAATACGCGGACAATATGAGACACCCTACTAAAAACTAACTAAAGTAGTACTTGTACGGGTAACGATCCATCTTAATAAGAGGACCACTCAAACATTTCTAAAGGTTAAAAAGACTTTTTTGAAAGCATCTCCTCCTTATCGCCACCAATACTGGGGCAACATTTGCATCACTTTAGAAAAAAAAGAAGGTATCACCAAAAGCATGTTTTCGTTTGGGCTCTCGAGTGTTTGGATTGCTTTTTTTGTACGATAATAATGAACAGTTTCTCTCTACGCGTGGTTTACAGGATGCATATGCTTCTACCTTTACTACTGCTCGAATTTTAATAAATATGAAGTTACTTTTGACAGGCTGGAAAAGTTCAATGTCTCCGTATTTCAATTTCTAAGTTCAAAGTTAAAGTTTGAAAGGTTAGATACATAGAAATATCTAGGATAAAAAACCCTTTCCTCGCATGTAGCCAACATGTCTGCATACATATTTATTCTTCCCGAGGAAAGAAACAAGACAACATTTTGACAGGGGTATGAGAGCTTGGGATCCTCCCAGCACCTTCCCCTCGTACAAAGAGAATTCTTGATCTTTGCCAAAAACCCGGCTGCCTGCACGGCTTTCTCATTTTGGTCCAAACCGGAAATGAAAGATGCTTGTTGTAAGACGTTGTCAAAATTTGCAGTTATTTTTATTACTTATTCAACAGACTGTGTTCTCGTCATTATTCTTTGTTTTGTTTGGAATGGGTTGGTTAGAGTTGGACCCGTTTGGATAAATTGAGGGACCGAATTGAGTGTCAAATGGAAGTCTCTTAACCAAATTCAAAATAGCGTGACGAGTTGCCTTTGTCACTGACAAATTAATCAAGGTCTGTGTTATGTCATGTCGTGTGTTGGTGCAATATACGGCTCCAACTCTCCCACTACTTGGCTTTTACGTACTAGTGTTGACTATTAACTGCACTTTAGTTAATGTGAATCCATACGTTTGTCCTCATGTTGCGAGTTAAAGGTTAATGTTGTTTCGTGTACGGGTCGTATAACACTTTTCGCTTAATGACGTATACATATAAGTATGAGTTTTAAGCTTGCATGTGCCAATTACGCGGTGTGCTTTGATTTATTAAATTAAGGGATTTGGGTGACTTGCAAATTAATAAGAAATGTTTTGTAATCTGGGATCATTTGTTTCGAGAGTTGTTTCATTAATAAATGTCGACCAAATTGGTCGCTGTTGTTTGCCGTTGGAGCGAACGAGATGAGATTTAGGAGGAGGAAGGAAGAAGAAGAGTGAAATATGGGTCTGATTAGGTTTTAGATTTCTAATGTGTCACAACCACGTGGGAATTAATGGCAGGTCCAATTAGTGTGTAAAAGCTATTATAATTGCAAATATTTGCAATAAATTACTAGTGTATTAGTTTATGATATTAATTAATTATGCACAATTAAAAATACTAACTGAACAATTAATCATATTTTTTTCTCTCCTTGCAGCCGTCGATGGTCGTTGGTCGGGCTGGTCGACTTGGTCAAGTTGCGGACCAGAATGCAAACACCACAAGAGACGCACCTGCACAAACCCGTCGCCTTCGAATGGGGGCAAATTTTGTGTCGGGAAGGACACAATGACGACCAACTGTACTGGAGGGCTTTGCAAAGGTAAGCCTAATTTTGCAGTAAAGAACGCCATTAAAGGTACAAAAATCTTCGTGATTTACTCACCTTTGCGGCTCGTTCGTAGTCATCTCCTCGGCATAAAGTGCACGTCAAGCAATTAACCTTACACTAATTAAAGACGAAATTGCTCTTTCCTCCTAAGCCCAACCAAGTAATCTTCCGCAAGAGATTTGTTATAGTCGTCTCGTCGGCTGGTAACCTTAGATTACTCGATCTTGACATCATCAACGCACCATTATTATTATACTACGCGCAACGTTTGCATGCATTTCCAAGGGTGAAACAAAGCTGAATCTACGATACAAAGTGCAGAGTGCAAAAGTTGAGACAAGGTAGTCGAGTAAAAGTTTCAGTTTTATGTGGTGTTTAACATTGTAGAGAACAAGGACTTTTACTCGGCTGTGGTAGCCAGGCAGGCGACACAGTAGAAAATTAGTGGGCGGTTGTTGTAGACTTGCTAATTAAAAATTTTGGTAATATTCTACCCTTACTTTAGCTTTACGTAGTTACTTCTTGTTAACCAAACTCCTGCCTGCTGAAACACAACATTCAACGCTAATTGTTTTTTCTTTGTGCTCGGGAAATGTCCTGCTAAAACAATCATCTCCTCCGAATTTTACAACCATTCTGAGCCCTATTTCCAAACAAATTCGCAATTACACCCATTGGCGACAAAACAACATCGTGTCGTACACTTTGTACTTTCGTTTCCTTTGTGTCCTCTTATTTTTGCTGCCACTAATCTATTATTGTTTCATTTACTGCTCACTCACTACAGAAATAGAAAGACAGAAAATGCAGTTTACTTTGAGAATACCACCCGACTTTGTTTTTACAATTTCACACTTTTCAACTCTGACGTCTCAATGTTTCTCTTTCTTTCCGCTGGAAAACAAAAGAGACAAAATTGGAATGCCATGTTGGGAATTAAAAAAAAGACTCTGCTTTTGTCATCCATTTAAATTTTACAGTTAAAAATGTACATACACGCACTCCTAAAAATTATGACGAGCTATAATAAATTAAAGCAAATAGCGACACTTTTTTTGCACACGTTTCCTATTCCTTTATGAAATTTGGTCCCACAAAATTTATGCAAAACCCACCCACCCGCTTATTTTATTCGTTCGTTCGTTACTGTGGCCATAATTCAAGCAAGTAACTACTCCACCCCACTCGCCTCATTAATGTAGTTGCAGTCAGGAGTTACACCATAAAGGAGGGAAGAGCTGAAGATGAAGAGCCTAAAATAAAGAAAAAGGAGGAAGAAGATGCATCATGGTGATGAACCTGAAGCAAGTTTCTTAGTTTCTCTTCACCACGAGAATCTCTTTGGCTTTTGTCTTTTGTCTCGGAAAGTAAAGTTGGGTAGATTAGCATTAACAGTGGCATCATCAGTGCTTCATTTCTTGCAGTGGGAACGAAGAAATGCGAGAAATGCGAGGTGCAAGAAACTGGGAGAAAGTGCAAGAAATATGTGCCATCTAGCCACAAGTAAACTATATCAGCGGGAAATATGCAGTAAACATAAATTTCCTCGTATTTCTTGCAGAACAAAATACCTTAAGAAACTACTTTTCTGCGGGTTCGCCACATTTCTTGCATTGAAAAGCAAGAAAAACAAGAAATGCGAGGTGCCAGAAACTTCAAGATAGTGCAAGAAATATGCACAATTTTTGCGCCGTACATTTCTTGCAGGTCAAAATACCCGCAAGAAACCACTTTCTCCCCATTATTTCTTGCACGTGATTACTTGCCCTCCGAAAGAAACACTGGGCATCATGCGTTCCTAGGTTTGGTTTGATGTTCGAAAGACAGGCCGAGTTGCAGGGGATGAATGCTGATTTGAATGGCTCTCTCTCTCTCTGCCTCTCAAATGCTTCTTTGTAGTCCTTCTTTCAACCGAGAAATGCGACCAGTATTCCAGTACTGCGGTCCTCTTGTAAAAACTGAGGAGGAGGAGACGTCGATTACTTAACTACTTCTTAACATTTCCTTCCGTAACAATTTCTCCATTAGCAAAAACTTGTGTTGCTTTCCCAACCGGAAAAATATTTATGACATCGTAAAGTAGACTGATAACAGGAAATGTGGAAAAATAAATTGGTCATGTTTTCCCCAAATCTAAACTTTCTCCATGAACGGGCTAAAGTTGCACAGACGAGAAGTTCATGATGATGTTCATGTGTGTTACACAGTTGGTTGGGTGGGTATAAAAATTTTAGTTTACAAGTTTCTCCCAGGAAGTAAAGTACGAGTTACGTTGCGTCAGTATTTAGTTGTTGTTTCAGAAGAAAGTGATGTTGATGCCGAGGTAAAAAGTGCAGTTGCAGCGGCGTGTAATCGGTTAAGACCAAGTTCAACCGATGCAATCTCACGAGACTCGAGCAGGCAGAGGAGTTGTAAAAGGAATTATTTCTGACTTTCTCTCGTCGTCGCCGGTGTTGGGAAAAGATTGGAGAGATTATTGCATTATTTGTTACTACTCGGTGTAGCGGAGGTGGAGGTTGATAAAAAAAGTGTACAGTTCTTGGGTACAAGTACCTGTAGCAATTTTGTGGAGAAAAACCTTCGGGGAAAGCGGTGCGGAAATGCAATTACGATTGAGATATTTGTGTGTGATACTGCGACAAGAGCTGTTTGGTGGGTCGCTTTGTTTGAAGGTTGGATTTGATTTTTGGGGGCTCGACAAATCATATGATTGGAAGATTGTAAATCTAATTCTATGATGTGAACTAATGCCAATAATACATATAAAAATATGACATTCGTACTTTCGTGTTGATCGGTTAGGTTATTTCTTAATCTTTGTAATTGAAAATATACATATTTTTTATTCCAGATTCTGGAAGTGAATTCATCTCAATTGAAACAACTCACTCGAACAGTGACCAAGGTAAGAAGATGCCCAGTTTTTTGTGCTTTTTGCTCATAATTATGTACGTGTCTGCATTGAGACTGATTTCCATAAGTACATACGACAAGCATGACTCAAGTCTTGTAAGGTTTTTCTTTTCTAAAAGAATTCAAATTCTTTTGTCCCCACAATCACACAATTTTCTCGCGACGGATTATTATCCCCGTAATAATAATAAATAGTGAAGGGGAAAGCAATAAACATTTCTTCCACACGCTTTTTCTAAAGGTCGTAATTTCGAATGAGAATTCTCTCACTGCATTTTTCTCATCTGACTGAATCTACCAGACTTTAGGGCAAAATCCGGTCGGGCACACGCTGTGACTTTATGAATATTTTGCAAAGCAGTTTCATTCATCCGTATTTTAAAACTCTCCATTTTTTTGCGTTTGAATAAGTCTCCGCTCGCTGTATAAAAAATATTGTAAAGATGTGGAGATAATGTTTACCCGTTGGAATAAAAAACCTTGCGGCAAAGGGCACGATATTAAAAATTATTGCGAATAAAAGAAGAGAAAATTGTAATCTTCATGACTTTATGACATGGACGGAATAGATAAGTATGCCCTCGTTTATTGCTGTTTATGACATTTACATATTATGTTACGTTATTTTGATGATGACTTTTCCAAAGTGTATTATTCGTACGTAGCAAAAATAATTTATGTCTTCATTATCACCTTTGGCCCGTTTTTGCATATTTAAATAAAGGGCAGTTAAAGTGACAAACAAATATATTCCGAAAGGAAGTAAAGATATCACAGAAACATTACAGTTCAGCAGCGAAATGACCACTTTCTCCGGACGCTGAACTAATACTGAACCATATCACGTGCAACATTTACAAAAGGAGAAAGTGAGCACTTTTCTAATTTCCTCACGTCCCACGTTACGATGGGCTTATGTTCTAATTATGTATTTGCGCCAGGAAGAAAGCAGAGGAGCGGGATTGAGTGTGACTTCTTTTGAGGATCGTTGTTGGTATTTTATGGCATCTTGCTTTCTCCACGTCTCCTGATTTTCGTACATGTGTCCCAGTATAGTACGATTTCGTGTGTCCGAATTTTAGCTTGCAAGACCTGTACATTCAAATTTTGCACTTTAAGTAATTGTTGTATGAACAGAATTTAAAAGAGTATTTCACTTCGAAAAATAATTCTCACTTTCACTTTTAAACAATCCACACATTGTGTTAATTTAAAAATTGACTTATTAATGGAGGAGGATATTTTCGTTCCATTGTTGAATCTTACTTTCTCCGCAAGGTCTGTGCCATTCAAATTATGCACTTTCACTAATTGTTGTACGAACAAAATTCGAAAAAGCGCTTCATTTCTCCAAAAAAATCCCACTTTCACTTTTAAACAAAAAGCACACATTTTTGTCACTTTAGAAATTGACTCATTAACAGTGGAGATCTTCTCTTCGTTCCATTGTTGCCTCGTATCATCTCTCATTCATCACACCATTGTTCGTACAGCGTAATACGACCCACTCTTTATTTTCCGATTGGCTTCACTCCTGACACTGAATGGAATTGGTGGGGTGAAAGTAACGTTTTGTTGGTCGGGTGGTGGGAGGAGATAGCGCACGAAAGACGGAAGAAACTTGGGTGCAGCAGTGGGACGAATTTCTTAAGAGGTCTTAATTATAAGCTTCCCTTTCTCGGAAACGGAATTGGGATGGATTATGCTGAAGAAAGTGTCTCTCGGAAAAATAGCGGTGGCATGAATGAAGGAAGAAAGACTGGTGAATGGAGCACATCGTGAGTTGAGATGACATGAAAAGACCATTTGGAAATGGACGATCATGTTACTTCCTCCACCGAAATGCACTTTCTCCTCCGTCCAACAATGTATGTAGGATATCACGCTGGGTGAATTTATGCAATTAATTGTTTCGCCATTTTGCTGGGGACTTATAAAGTTTTTTGGGTAATGGAAATAATTCAAAGTTAGGAAAATTTTAAAAATAGTAATTTAACTTCTTGACGTGAGACGCTGATTATTTTTAAACTTAAATGACTAACAATTTTCCAGTTCGCTAAATAAACATACTTAAATTTATTGTAAACTGTTCAAAATCTGGTAGAGTGACTCCGTACTGGTATTGATTTGGTAATAACTTACTACCGGATTGGTAGTAGTTTATTTCCAAGTGGTAAATTTTTTATTACTACAACAGTACTAAAGTCCGTTATTACCAACCCGGTAGAGTCCTCCATGTACTCCTCTGATTTAATACCAGTTTTCTAAGAGTGTACACAATTGAATCATACAAGGAACGATCCTCGTAAGCATTCTTCCCTATTTCCTGATCTGACCGTGCATGCAATTCGGGAATTTTTTATGATGCGATTATTTACAAGTGAAAGCAGCGATAACCAAAGTGGAGAAAGGGCCACAATAATAATAAAAAAAGAGAAGAAAAGTTGCATGCATACGCAAAACCAATAAATTGAAAATGGATTCTCGCTGCTACTTTTCTGATCTCGCAGGAATAAATAAGAAGATGATAAAAAGTTGGACCAGACCAACCAAACTGGTCGACCAGAGATCCGCATCTCCTCGTCTTATATTCTCTCATCTCATCCTGTACGAAGAAATGGGAGCTTTATTTCCACTGCTCTTCCGTCGGCTTAACAAGATCTTTAGTTGTTGGGATTATTTTATTGATACTTTGTGATCAGACGGGTTCCTTATTCCCTTTCTCTTCGGTAACTGGATACGTACTTGCATCGACAAAAATTTTCTGGGATGCATGGAGCATCACATAATACATACAACTCGTAATTTAATGCTTGGATGATCGAACATAATAGATAGCAAAAAAAAAGTTGTATGGAGAAAAAAAAGGTAGGAAAAAAGTTACCGAATCTTTTAGAAATATTGGGAAACGAAAATTTCCTAAAAAAAAGTAGTCTCGTTTTCTTCATCTCTAGAGACTTGAGAAGTCAACTTGGGAATGCCGATTAAAATTAATTTTGTTAGAGATTTGTTCCCAAAATACGATTCTTCTTCAGCAATTGTAAAAAAACTCGAGTTAGTCTTCCTCTGCTAAAAAAATCTAAATTATCCACAAAAAAATACAGATAAGCCGTGATTCATGCCATTACTTTTCAACAATCTCGATATGATCTCGTCTCATTCGGCAGAAAACTGCATGGCTTGGCTGCGAAGAAGTTGGAATACAAACATAACTGTCCAGACTTTCGTCTCGCGTGCGTGTCTCCAACTGACAATGAGACAGCCGGATGTAGCAGAATCCCAACTGACCAGTCTGACTCATTGCTTTGCTACACAGTTATACTTTCACTTCCTGTTCTCCCCAAGAAAAAATTTCCCTTATCATTTTTCTTTTATTCAGTAAAAGGAGACGACAGCAAGACGGCTTTCTCCTTCTCCGTAGTTATAAAGCCAGCAACAATTCCATCGTAGGTGCACAGGGGCCGCGGAAGCTGTGGGGACATTAAAATTGTGGGATAGGGGAGGGAGGGGTTTATATAATATGGGCAGATGATGAGGACATCGAATATTCGTGGGGACATTCCCATGCTTCCGCGGCAACTGTATGCACCCATGTTATTAGGCCTGCTTCAGTCTGAGTAAGCAGTGGACATGACATGATAAAAATAGCCATGTATGTAAAGAATGTTTTAGATCTTCTCTCCATACAATGCTGTCACTCTTTCTCTCTCAGAAAGACTGCTTCCATATCCATTAAGATTTTTTTTGCTGGGAAAGTCAAGTCAAGAATTGTTGAATGAATGGATAAAAGACTTGCATTGGATCGGACCCTTATCATTTAATCGGTCACTCACATATCCACTCTGGCATCTGCTCTTGGCCAGCTTTCCACCACCACTCTCCGTATTTATTGTCCCATTATATTCCTATCTTTGCTCACTTCCTCCTCTCCTCCCCATTACGCACTTTTGCAATGAAGTGAAAGTTGCTTGAATACGGAGGGTAGGAGATAATGGTCATTTTAGTTGGTGAAGCGTGCACGCGTACGTACATATTTATTTGTGCAAAGTCGAGTAACTCATGTGGTTGTGTGGGCGTGCCAGATATTTGCAGACTTAATGGACACCGATGAGCAAATTGATTGTGGAGGAAAAGTGCATTTTATTGTGGGATACTTAGGCGAATTACTTTCGTTGTGTACACCTCTTTATCTGTAAATATTGTTAATGTTAACATGCTAACTTTTATGTATGTACGACATACTGTGTCATAGGGTACAAAAAGGTACGAGTTTTCTCTCTTTTTTTGCACATCTGGGCTCAATTTTCGGATCTGTCACTATTTTTATTTCGGGTGAATTTTCCTTTTGGCTTGGCCTAACCTGCCCAAATTGTATATAAGTAACCTTGCTCCTTGACTTTAGCTGGGTGGGTGACAGAGGAAAAAAAGTGAAAAGTAGAAAGAATGTTGTCCTGGCTCGTCTGATGTAATGGAACGTGTTGTCTGGGACTTATATAACTGCCGGTGGAGGTGGAAGTGGTTTGGGATTAGACGATCCAGCGATACAAGAAGTTAGTCACCCCAACCAATCCACGTCAACGACACGCTTTCTCCAGCAAGATAAACGGCGTCTTTCCTTTGTTCACTGCTTTCCACTCACGCCTTTTGAATTCCCAAAAACCTTGCGAGACGACGAAGAAGGCGTGTTTCAAATGATGTGTGGATGGATGATATACCGGATTTTTTCTTCCTTTCAAGGATTGTAATTACTTGTGAGAGCTTATTTTCTTAAATTTGTATCAGTTTGGGGTGGAATAAAGGAACCAACGAGATGGCAAAAAGCTGCAAAAATTACCATGAAATTTGAGAGTGAAAGTGCTTATTTTCTTAAATTTGTGTCAGGAATAAACTTTATCAACGCGACGTTAAAAATGCATACAACATGAAAATGAAATTAAGCATACTTCCGCTTTAAAATGACATCTCGTATTGGTGGCAGGGCAGGAATGTTAT